ACCTTACTACATATGATAATTTAACTATAAATACCTTCTTTTTGATAATAAAACGCGTTTTTACTGAGGAATCATTCAGGTTTTCCATGCCGTTCATATATGAATTGAAATGTCAAAACGATTAGTTAAGAGTTCATATTACTAACACGCGTACACTTTCGATGATCATGAGCAGCTGTTAACATTAATTTTCCCTAGTTTTCCAAATCATTTCGCAATTAACTCCGCAACGAGTCTCTCTATTTATTTATTTTTTATTTAGTTTTTCATTTACTCTTATTTTATTTTCTTACCTTTGTTTCCTCCGTAGCTTCTCAACTTGACACATTTAAGGAATAATCGCTCTAACCTCTTTTGGTACTGCATCCTCGTTTTACTCATACGAAGTCGTCTAAATTCTACTGATACTTCACTTGGACTATTCAGTGTGATGTGATGTGATTATGATTTTTAACGCAGCGTTAACCGTTTTCAGTCATATCACTTCGATGTATAAAATATGACAGTTTATATTGATGTCTAGCTATGGGAAATCATGCTGCAGACAAGCATCATGGTGTCCCACCCAGTCACATTATCCTGACACCAGGCCGACTAGTCCAAACACTAACATCTTCTTAATGCTGAGCGCCATGTGAGGAAGCTGTTAGTATCATGATAATAATTTTGTATCCTATATCTTCTTCTTTTTCCATGTTATGAGAAAGAAGTGATTGAAGAGAGAGAGAGAGAGAGAGAGAGAGAGAGAGAGAGAGAGAGAGAGTTTAGGTTCTCTTAAGATAAGGTGTAAGGAATAATGATGTAAATACGGCTACTTCTCTTGGGGAAAAGCTCTGGCAATGCAGATTTACACGGATCGCTGTGATGAAATACTAGAGGAATCTCTTCCACTTTGGAGCAGGTAGACTTTATTTATATAAGTGATATAAGAGGATATATAATGCAACATTCTAAAAATACACTTTATAAAGCCTTTTCATTGAAAAATACATAAAATCGATTGTATACCTTTCCCTCGTGCCTACCAACTCTATATATTTGTGTAGTTTCTGCATTTTAGAATATGGTATAGCTTATAACATCTGGCCTAAATCATAGTATAAAACAGTTGCTATTAATGCAACAATGGTTTCAAAAAATATATTTTACTCAATTTAGGATGGAATACTACTTTTGAATAAATTACTGAACATTATTTTATATTACTTAAAGGATATTTAAATTCTCAATTTAAATCTTTGCATGAAGTTGGTGGCAATTAATAATTTCACACTCGTATAAATACAAATACAAATTAATATAGATTCATAAAAACAATGAAACATTCCATTATATTATAATATTAATATTAAAAATAGAACTCACAAGAACATTGCAAGTAGGAAGGTTACAACAAAAATCTTTAACTTTTAAAAATACCTAATCTTTAAGACATTTACGAACATAAACAATTTTTACCCGTAATGAAATACGAGAGGTATATCCTCTACTTTGGAGCAAGAAGACGGAAGATGCATGCGACTTGGGTGCTTATTTATACTGGTTGAAAATACCACTAACCATTTTTGGTAAAGACCTAGATAGAGTGTGCTATGCTAGCATGATGCCTGTACAACATGGTCCAAACTGGAGAGATCCATTTTATCCTAATGGAATCGTATATGTTCTTTGCGTCGTATTCTGCCTCATCAGCATTATGTTTGAGACCTAGCTTACAAATTCAGACAATACTTTACGAATGTTTTTGCGAATGAGAGTTATTTGCTTAGTCGGCATATACATGTATAACACAGAGAAGATTTGTACTTGTTGTAGAGGGAAAATTTTATCAATATAGAATATAGCTCTAATAAATTAAGTTAAGCTGCATATATTTTAATGGAAATTACTCCAAATATAATTTAATGAAAAATTATTCCAATGAAAAATTAATTTTAATACAATTTAGAGGATATTCCAATGTTAATATTTTTACTTCAAAATTGTGCCATAACATTAGTAACATTTTGTAAGTTTTGGTATGACTAGACTGGGTATCAATCCCCACGACCTCCCTCATCAGAGGCGGACGCTCTAACCACTAGGCCACCGTGGTGGTTGGACTATTCAGTGATTTAATTTCTTTGCTGCCAATGCTTAATATCGGCAGACATATATTCATATATATTTACGTAGTTTATATCGAAATGTAGTAAAATATTATAAGTCAGATGCAAATGGTGTAATCTCAGCTAAAGCTTTATTAAAGAATATGTGATCAAAATAAAGAGATCCTTTAGACACAGGTGTCATTTTAAATAAACTGTTGTAAACACGAGAATTGAAATGAATAAACAGCGTTACTTAGTCTACATTCAGTAAAATATTTCTGATTTTAATTGCAGTCGATTGGACATGTTCAGATTACCAATGTAACGGAACCACTGCCATGTTGAAATAAGTTGAAAAATAATCAATTCCTTTCTGCAAGAATATATACGTGGACATGTTTCACTCAAAAATGAAAATACATTTAAAAATAAGCCCCGACTCCTTGGATATAGGAACAAATGATTCAATGTTGTACGCGGATGATAATGTGTTTAGTGAACTCATATTCCTTATGCGAGTGTGTGTATGTGTGTGTGTGCGTGCTATTCAAACATTTAGATATTCATGCAACTGGGTGAAATTGCACCGTCATTTATACAATTTTGGACTAAAATTGGTTTCGTTGTTTTCTTATGTAGAATTAAACGTGTATACAGAGTTAATTGTAGACTTGGAAAACTTCATGGATACTTATTTTCAGCGTTAAGACTTCACAGAGCGGTCAATGGCTTACTATAAACAGCATCGTGAGTTGCACGCCAAACGTGCAGATCAATAGAACGTTTCAGTTTCGATTCGACTAACGGCAGTTTTTTCGGTTATTATAATGTGTACGTGTTTAATAACTTGAGCAAACATTTCCGCCTTAGTAATTTAAGTATTTTTTAATTTTCTATGAAATAAGAAACTTTATTCGTCTTTCCCAGTACCCTCTTTAAAGTTATAACATCATATTTGGCAGCAAACTGTTCCTAATTTGTTAATGTGCTGATGTACCAACAGCCTTGAATGAGCTTTTGACCTAGTAGTATTGATGTATCACAATGATACTATCCAAAATAACCTTTGATTAATGCACACTAATCCCAAACTAATGTTTTAGTCCAAAATGTCAGTGCGCACTTTGTAATTCCGATAAACAATTTTATTAAAAATTCTCAAAGTATAACTGAACACAGCTAAAATAGTGGTATTAAAATAAGAAAGAAAAATCTTGAATACGTGGGACTTGAATACCTCACTACTTTACCTATTTCGCAATAAACGTTTTTTTAAAACAAATACTGCTATAATGGAAAATTACTCCATTACTGTAGAAACGACTAGATCAGTTTATTTAAACAACCTGATAAAAATTAGATAGATCATGTTTTGTCCAAGGGAAAAACCAATGTCCTGAGTTCAAATCCGAGTAAACATGTTTAAAATGATTGTGATTGTAAAGTATAATCTACAATCATGAAAAAATTTAGCCTCGTTAACAAATGGTTCTTACAATTTGCAATCAAGGGCAAAAGCTAAACACATCATACAGGTCTACATAAGAGTTCATCAATAAATATTCTCAAAATATTACAGTATTGTGTCTTATTGGAAACGCGTTATTTTTCTCTGATTAACTTTTTCTATATATATTTGACAGTTACGCAATTGTATTTTATTACTTTGACATTCTGCTTCACACAATGGTAGACTCGTACACGAATTGCGATAGATATGCATATGTGTAGCCATTTGGCTTTTACAAGGTAGACCTAAATCTAATAAACGAATAATGTATGAGAATTCTATAAGATATTTGTTAATAGTAATAGCATTATAACATATTTAAATGATACACCATTTCAATTTCTATGTATTTCATTAGCTGTATTCTTGACTGATGTGGAACTTTATTTATCCCCCTCTCCCAAAATCATTAATTCCAGACTTCCACGTATATTTTGCATGAAACGTATTTTCATATTTTTCACAAGCTTCCAAATTATGAAAACCATTGTTTACTAAAAACGTAAATATATAACAAATTGATCGGAATAAGAATTAGGTGGGCTTACAAGTAAAGAATCAAGAATAGGTAATATTGACAGATTATATCATACATAATCGACTGCAATTCTATATTTCGTGACTGCAAATTGAATTCGTGAATTCGGGTATGATTGAATCCTGGACAGCTCGCACGTTAGCTGTTTTAAGTCATAACTCTTGCACTGCTTTAAGTAATTCATAACCGCAAATTTTGACTTGAATGTTGTCCCATAAGACTCGTTGCATTAAATAATCATTTATGTACTCGTCTGGAAACGGAACACCTGTAAATTTGTTATCATTGGCTACAAAATCGATTTTTTTTTAAATTTGGGTTAAAGTCCTCGCATTAAAAATATCAGCATATGCTTCCCACTGAACTATCCAATATTTTATCTTCAGTCTTCAAATATGCTAATATGTCTTGAAAACGTGAGCTTTTGCGAACAGTGAAACAAAAATCTGTACATATCCTTATAACATTTTCAAAAATTCGCTTTGAACTTAACACGCAATAAATCATCAAAATTGGAATAAATAACTAATGAAATGAAATGGTATTCCTTCACAAATCTGTTAAGTATTTGTTTTCTTTAAACTCTGCAATGTAAAAATGTCACAATTTGCACCTTCTTCTGTGGGGGTGATTTAGATGTTTAACGTAGCTTTAACAATGTTTCAGTCAAATCGCTACGATGTCCGCTGTGTGACATTTTATTGTGATGTCAATTATTCAGGCATCTTGCCGCAGACATGTGACATGATGTCCCACTCAGTCACATTATCATTACACCAGACCGACCAGTCCTAACACTAACTTCTTAATGATAAGCGGCAAGCGAGGTAGCTGTTAATACCATTTTTATAAGTCTTTTGTATGACTCGGCCGGGGTTTGAACTCGCAATCTCCCTCATCCGAGGCGGACGCTCTAACGACTAGGCCACCGGAGCAGTTACTTCTAGGTACTAACTGAAGACATAATTATAGAGTCAGAGTGTCTAGTAGATGCTAGCAAACTCATTGGCGTACTGTACCATGCTCACAAAGGTGATCCAGGCGAATTTATGTGCAACAATGGCATGGTTAAAAGCTTTTCTGTCCCGGTAACCTAAGCATTTGCTTCATTGTGTTTAATCTGGTAATATTCTAGGAGACCTTCCGTAAGAAATGTACTAAAAGTCACTAACATATAGTCGGTCGATAAGATCTCTAAAAATTGACCAACTGGGATATGCTTTAACACTAAAAAGATGAGTTTTCACAGTTTTGATCTTACCGTCGAGATCTTTCGTACTGCCTCATTCGTGTGATAGCGCTACAGGAGGGTACTAGTTTGACTGGTATTGACGTCGTCTACGCTTATAATGCTCTAATACTCAACTGTCATCTAAACCTGTACTGTCCAACTCTGACAACCTGCAGAAAACTAGAGGTGGAATAATCTGTTCGGACAAAATTTACCAAGCAGGAGTAGAAACACTGACTAGATCTCTCTCAATGTCTGACTTTGTTGTGGCAATTATTACTGTATGTATTGGAGCGGAGAATATGACTTGTCTCAGAAAGCAAACAAAGTGTTATGGTAGCTGTACAGCTTAGATAGCAATGAGTATGATGCACACTTTTTCTACGGACTGACTTGCAAAGACCATAATAAAGCAGAAAGGGATCAGATCTACCGAAATAAGAGCAAACCATTATCGTACTTTAACGGTTGCCAACGCACAGACCTTGACTCAGACCTTCGTCTAGTTGCTAACCATGTACAGAGAGACAGACAGGGAGAGAGACAGAGTGCTTTACGACGGCTACCGACAGTTTTCGCTCTTCATTATCAACGGCATATGCTTTATGTTCCTCCATATTGTTACCCTACTGGGAGACAAAGATAGATTTACGGTACAAATGATAACGACCGATGGGAACAGTCTAGAAATAGGTGAATATGCATTAGAAATCTTATTGATTTTTGCTAGGACTGATTGATAATAAAAGTAACATTTTAGTATAAAGATCATTTTGAGAGTTTATCATGGTTTTAACTAATAAAAAAGAGTGTTTTAGTTATAGAATTTCAGGCGTTTTACAGACTTTAGGTCGGAAAATTCATTACCTAATCTAAATTAGCATATGACTCTTTGGTACAGAATCAAAAACATATGTAGATCGGCTAATACGGTTTCCTCTGCACAGAGGCTTGTAACAAGAATTGGTCTTTGCTGACACATACAGGTTATATCAAGAGTATTCAGAAATGTAAAGTTATTTAAATTTTGATGACATAATGTTTGCATGGGTTCACGAAATACGCTAAACTTGTACAGTGACTCCAATAGAGAGATGAACAGTTTAACAGTAGTTCCATATATGCACGTACAATTAACTTTACTTAAATGCTAAATTTTGGTTCCTTTACACAAAATGAAACAAGTAAAATGAACACCTTTTGTATACTTAAGGATGTTCTACAGTGGGAAATTAATCGCGCTTCAAAATATATCAACTGTTGATTTGATATTTGTGGCTCAGTGTGATGAGTGCATATATAGTTTTAGCAATTTACCATTTTCGTAATAATTATGACTACACATATTTCATGTCCTTGTGTTTTATAACATTATGTTTAAGATATGAACTCTTAGGTTCTACCACCACACGTAATACTAATGAACTCTCATGAGCTTGTGTCATTCAGTGAATATTCTGGAAATCAATATATTGCATTTTATTTGCATGTGCCCTCCTTACTGTGGATTTAAGGTATATAAGCTCTGAAAATTACACCATAACATTGACCTTTATTCATATATTGCATAGTAAGAATATATTGTTAATATATTATTAATTAAAGGGAGATAAATGCTGAAAGTAAAGCGAAGTAACTCTTGAATGAACAACGTTATTTTAATACTTCTATGATATTCTGAAATGAAGCTCAGATAATTCAATGTTGCCCTTAATGCATCATTGCTATTATTGATTTGCATAAACTTGCTACGTAATAATTGATCATTAGACTATTAGAGATATAGACAGAGACATAAACATACATATATTAATTGACATAAATCTATCACACAAAAAAATCGAATTTATTTTTAGACAAGTGAGATTAGGAATCTTTTCAAGACAATGGACAGGCCCTGAAATAGTCAAATTAATTTTATATGTTTCTTTCCTCCTATCTTCACCACCTTCTTCACATTTTATCCATTACATTGTCTTCTTCTTTACATTCTATTTCTCCTCCTCCTCCTTTTTCTTTTCCTCATTTTCTTCTTCTATTTTAAGCTAGCATCGTAATTTCGCATTTGTTCCTTTCCCTCTTTTTTCTCCTTATCTACCAGTTCCTATTTTATCAGATTTCTCAGCCTTTCCTACACCTTTCATCCTTTCCTTCACCTTCATCAAATTATTATCTCCATTATCAATCTGTGAGGGCTAGGCACTACTCTTTTCCGTTCCAACTATCATCTCTACCATTAACAGATTATCATTGCAATGTCAATGTTTTGAATTATTTATTATATGTGTGTGCATGTGTGAGTGTCTGTGTTTTTATTTGTGTGTGTCAGTGTGTGTTTGTGTGTGTGTGAAGCATTCAAAACCTGGGCAGAATTCTTGTAGGTTGATTTTTGCACAGACCGTTAAATATTTAACGAATTATAAGCAGGAAAGAAGAAACAAATGTTCCATTTGTTTTTAATTTAGCGTTCGTGCAATATTTAACATGTGTCCTCTTTGGCACTTGTTTCTTAGCCTTGCTCACTTGGGATACATCTGCAATACCAAACACAAAAACAAAAATTATATCATATTTGTATATGCATCTGGCGTTCAATCGATATAAATGACTACAGCATTTGCTTGCCTTGTAGATTATTAACAGACTGGAAACGTAAACCTAAAACAAAACAGATTGAATACTTAATACACAATACTACAAACGGGACAAATTCGATACACAACCCGCACGCTGGTATTTCAATACGTCAGCTCATTAACATATAAAATGATATCTTACCAGACTCAAAGGCTCCAAATGAACAAATGTTGCAAATCTAGAATTTTGACTGTATGCAAAAGTAAAATGAGCAAAGTGTTGTTCGTCCAATGGCGAAAGGAGAAGTGCCAGAGGCTTTTGTTATTTAGCAGGGAATCGACAACAGCGTTTCATCGTGCACTGTAAATATGTAACATTGTGTTGGGGATATGTGGGGGTAGGGGTGTGTGTATGGGTGTGTGTGTGTCATTTAGATTTTAAAGTAGCTTTAACAATTATTCAGTCATATCGCTACGATCTCTACGGTGTGATAGTTTATAGTAATATTTGGCACTGACGCATCATGCTACAGACCTGTAGCATAATGTCCCACCAAATCACATTATCCTGACACTAGGCCAACCTTTCCTAATACAAACATCCTAATGCTAAGCGAGTCAGCTGCTTGTACCATTTTCATACGTCTTTGGTATGACATGGCCGAGGTTCGAACCCGTGACCTCCCGCATCCGAGGAGGAAGCCCTAAATACTCATCAACAGGAGCGGTATGAAAAGTGTTGATTATCAAAAACGAAACAAATACATAATACAATGAATTTCATACTATTAATGATAATTATATTCTCAGTGTAGAGAAGCAACCAACACCGAAATATAGGTATATCGAGTCATGTATTTTAGTAATGACCAATGCCACTATGTGAGGAGTAATGAGTTATACAGTAATATCAGATACTATAGGTGATTTGCATTGATTAATAATTCCAATTTTTTTAAGTGACTGCGTTTTCCACGTTTTGATTGGATCTAAACGGTCACATGATCCTGATCTAGAATTGTTTTCACATCGATAAATTCCGCGGACTACTTTTGGTTCACTGTGTCCAGATTTGAAGTTTTCTCATTATCAGCGCTTTACACTCTAATTTTAACAGCAACCTCCTACCGCATCCACTCATGTGACTTTTTAAATGACACAAATGACAACCCCCAGAATAAAATCGTTTCTTAAAAGTTAAAATAATGTAATTGCATAGACCTTCCTGCACTACAACTCTCAACCCGTTCACCGAAGAAGGCATATTGCAGGCTTTAGAAGACAATCTTCCGAAATTTTTGTATCTCACCTCGACAACATGTTACAGCAGTAGTCATTAAAGGTCAGGGTCGTGTCAACAAAGGGTTCTCACTAAACGTGGACACGATTTTATTTTTTAAAGTAACATTACTATAACAACACGCGCCATACGCAGGCGTAATTATCATGAAAAGGTAATATTCCTGGTTTAACCGCAACAACTATTTTTATATAGTAATGTAATGATCATAACAATGTATCACTGGCATGAACCGCTATGACATTCTAGATTTGGCTAGCGAAGATAGGGCTATGTATTCTATCGCAGTAAAGAGGCTAATGAAAAAAACCTGGAAGTGCATAAAAGTGAATGTTTTATTGATTATATCTGCTGATCTGATATTAGAAAAGAAGTAAATTGGAATTATAAGGATCGAATGATCATGGATGGGTAGTTATCGATGTGTAACTTTTACCTAATCATTCACAAAGTCTACATAAAGTCTGTCATTTAATCATATAGTACATCTGCAGTAATGATCATAGAAGCAAACACTTGAGCACGTATTACCTACCTCTAATAGTTTACGGAACTGCAGCATTACTAGAACAAAGAAAACGTTAATGTAGAGGATATAGTGTAAAGGATTAGCGACTTGTTAAAATTCAACATCGATCCTGTGGTAATTTAAGAAACTAAACCGGTCAAAGCTACACCTAATGCCATTATGGTCATAGTCACATGCAGAGAAAAACAAAATAATTGAGTACAAAAGAAATTTTACAAAATAGTGTACAACTAAGCCCCGCCATGTTTGCATATATAACGCTGATGATAAAGGAAAATCAAACATGATTTTCCTTCATA